TCTATCAATTGCGTTTTGTTTTTCTTTCTGTCTTTCTTTCTTTCTTTTTTTTGTTTTTGTCAATTATCAATAATAAAAAACAATAATAAATATTATAAATAAATCAAAAATATATTCAAAAAAAGGAAAAAACTCCCCATATTAATGTTTATGAGTATAACTCAATAAATTTCTATTGACTTGAAAAAATTCAAAGAACTCATTTGCAGCTATTTGAATAGAGATGAGACTGATTGAAAATGCCACAGTATTTTTTTCTCCCTGTGTGACGTAAATAATTAAAAATAATATTTTTTTATCTAAGTATACTCACCGTTCATGTTAATCTTGAAATTGGTCCAAGTAACGAAACAGAATTTCTTTTTCTAAATAAATACATTAGTATTCATTGTCGTTCAGATAAATCTAAACAGAAAAATATATGTAATGTTTTTCTATACATATTTAATGTTCATTTTGTTCTTGGGATAGATCTAAATAAAAAAAAATAATTTTTTTCTAAGTAATGACTTACTGTTCATTATATTATTGAGATTAATTTAAATAATAGAAATAAATAATTTTTATCTATAAACATTAACTATTGATTTTCATCTTGACATTTGATCTAAACAAAAAAAAACAATTTTTTTTCTAAGTAATAACTTACTATTCATATTGATATAGAAAATGATCTAAATAAAACAAAAAACAAGTAAGTTTTATCAAAAATACTTACGGCTCATTCTATTATTGAGATTAATCCATATAAAATAAATGAATAAATAGTTATTATCTGTAAACACTAATTATTGATTTTCATCTTGAGGTCAATCTCAATAAAAACTTATTTGAACAGATTTCGGACCGTAACATATTATTGAGATATTCACAACACTAGCGCCCTCTATAATAATATTGGTTAATATCTTAAGAATGGCTGATGTTCGGATAGTGCGCTTAGCTGTATTGAAGTCGAAAAAAGATGAGCTTAACTTTTAGCATAGGCTTCATCCAAACATTTTATGTTTTATCATACTCAAATTTGTCACACTCTACTTAGTTACCAGATACCGTATTACAGGTGATAAATGGGTATAGCTCAAGACGACTATAAGGTTTTGATTTCATAACGGGATAAACTGTAGACTTATAGAGAAAGACTTCCTCTATCAATCGATATATGTATTATCAACTTCAATTGCGTAATGTTCATATGCCAATAGACGGCGCCACCTTCGTCATACCACACATGTCCACAGCAGAATGCGTCGAAGTTGGCACCCCCTATTCACATATCAACAGTATGCAATATAACTTTATTGTACACACATCACTTGATGGAAGAAGTCTTCCTCCACAAACCTACATGTATCCCGCTCTGTAGTCAACAATGACTATTATGGATGGCGCACCTGCACTACAAGGGGCAGCAATTGCTTCCCCTAAATAAATTTTTGGGGAGCAATAAACTTTTATTACTTTTCCAAATTGCTCATGCTTTCTTTTGTATAATGGAGTAAAACTACCCAATTCAATATACATATTCAATACGACTTCGCAGCTATTACACGAGTTTTGGCGCAGTCTCATGAATTTGTTTATTGTAATCTTGATGAATGTGTTCCCTGTTATACATATTCGACATCTGCGCTCATCAAAAGAATTGAAGTCAGATTATGGACGACGCACGAACACTACAAGGAATAGCCGTTGCTTTCTCTAAAAAGCTTTCGGAGGGGCGATAAGAACTTATTGATTCCCGAAAATTCCCAAGCCACCTAGTTAATCCAACGTATACATATTCAGAACGACTCGGTACTTAATGCAGGAAGAGTCATCCGTCGTATCCTAATTTTGTGAATTGTTATCCTGTTGATTGTACTTCCTATTATACATATCCGACATATGATTATACAAGTAGCACATAACCAACATTTTTATTATTTTGCACTCTCTCCTTTCATAATCAGCGATATCTGAAGTTTTCTGCTGGATCAGGTTCAATAGTGTAACTGTAAATCATCTCCCACCTCTCTCTAAGGCTGATTAAATAATACTTGTCTAGTTTGATCAAATGAAGTCAAGTCTGATTAACCAACATTTAATGAGTGAAACACTATAGCCGATCTTCTTTGCTGTTTTTGTTAATGAAAATATGCAGAACATTTGGTATTCCTTCTATATTTTTCTTTTATTTTAAGAAAATTTACAATTTAGATTTAACTTTAAAATTAAAATTTCTGAAAAAAACTCTTATTATTTCATAATCAAACAGAACATCAGCTAGCTGCTTGCATTCATTTGTTAAACAATCTGAAGAACAGAGTCTTCATCTTTCCAACTGATGTTTATGCCTATGATTTTTCAAAAAAAGGAGAGTGATTGTTTAAATTTGAGGTACCCTTTACATGAGTGTCAAGGCGAGAACGCAATAGTCAGTGAGCGGAGGTAAAAGTAATAAGGAGTCGAGTTTTTCCAAAATTTTTTGAATAAATCTTTTTCAATAAAATGTGTTACACTTATTTAAAGATCGTAGTGCACTGTCAGATGATTTAATGCTCAAGCTTCTACATAGCATGCCTTAAAGAAATATAAAATTCAAATGGCAAAGGTTTTGCTGTGTCACTGTTCATTATTGAGAGGAAGAATGGAGATAAAATGGATTTGTTTAAAACTTCATTGCTTCCCCTAAAATATTGAACTTGCACCGCTCATGCAGTTGATTATGTGTACGTGTGAGAAAAATTGTGAGAAAAAAAGTTGTATCTCATTTACATCCAAAAATTTGAATTTTTGAGGTGTAATGGGCGTTTTTCGTTAGAAATAACATTTCAACCACTTTTGTGCATAAATTTAACGAAATTGGGTAGAAAAACGCAAAAAAAAGTAGAAAAAACGGAAATGTCGAAAAAATCGACAAAAACATGATTTTTTGTGCGTTTTTTGAAATAAGCGAAAAAAACGCAGGAATTTCGACGAAAAGTCGCTACTTTTGTTCAAAAAATGTCAAAAATCGGCATATCTGTCTGCTTGGGCACTTGGCGCAAGGTGCATAAAATCATATTAATCCCACTGACGCAAATAGTCACAAAACTATAACAGATCTTCAATGTTTGTCGTTGATTTCATTGCCTTTGGAATCACATGAAAAGCATTTAGCCCTTGTTTAACACGGTGTCGTTGTATTGTTGATCGACTAACGACCTCTCCGCACCTCTCTCTAAGGCTGATTAAATAATACTTGTCTAGTTTGAACAAATGAAGTCAAGTCTGATTAACCAACATTTAATGAGTGAAACACTATAGCCGATCTTCTTTGCTGTTTTTGTTAATGAAAATATGCAGTACATTTGGTATTCCTTCTGTAATTTTNGTTCGATGCTGTACAAAACTGACTCTGGAAAGTTTTCATTTGGAGAAATAGTTTCGCTAGAAATTAGAGTTTTCTCGGCGGTACTGGGAAAAAAGGGTCTTTTTATGTAACAGCGTTACGCGATAATAAAACCTTTCTAGACCTTCGAGACTTCAGCCGAAAAAGGTCGTTCTTATAGCATAAATAGAGTTTGATAAGCTGTGTCGGATGGCGTTTGAATGAACTTTCTAGCTGTTAAACTTTCCGAGTTAATTGAAGAACAGTGTGTCAAAAACGTAACAGCGTTACGTTTGGACAAGCCGATTATCGAACAAAAAACTTCAACTTACACTAATTGCACTGCTACTAACTCGTTCAATAGTATCAATACCGATTTTAAGAAAATAATCTTCAACAATTCTCTTTAATTCAGCAGTTGCATTTGGCACTCGACTGACTAATTTTAATAGAAGTGCTAAATCTATCAAAAATAAATCATCATGAAATTTCTGCTGGAACAACATGTCAATGATTAGTGTTTAATCTGGATTCTGTTTTTCGGACGGGTACTGTCTCCGTGCTGGATAAAAGATTGTCGATCATGTAGAGATTTTATCTACATCCCTGAATGTTTTTCATTACGTAAAAGTGCTTTTGCTTCAGTATAGATTGCTTCAAGATGATCGCAAATAAGTACTTTTTCGACTGTTTCCATCAATGATGCTGATGTTGATGGATGTAAATACGATTGTATTCGATATGTTTCTTCATCAAGACATTGAGCTACCTATTATGAACATTGTTAAATATTTCATCATTTTGATAAGCAAAAAAAAAACTGAACCTGTATTAGATATTCAGTCACAGAACTATGAGCAAGCAAATTAGCTGCTTTAAGGCGATAAAATTGTTTTGTTTCTTGAAGAAATTGTTCTTCAAAATAATCTTTATAAATTGTCAATGCCGGAGATGTTATTTGATGATTATTTTCTAAAATCGATGGGTTTGCAGTGAAGCCAAGATCAACTGAAATTTTTCAAATTATTTTCAAGGAAAAAACAAATTTTCATTTATTGTTTTGTTTACTATAACTTTGTATAACTTGACTAATTAATTGGGTATTAATTACTTCATTTTGACGTTCAGCATTAATTAATTGAAGACATACTAATGTTACTTGTCTACTCAATCGTTGAAAAAAAACTAACTGCCAAACTTTCATCGCCATCGAAATTTTTATTCATTTTGTAATCAAGCTGAAAAAATAAACAATTTAATTAACTAAAAATAGAAATTTCATAAACATCTCTTCTTTCTGAATCATATTCTCGTTGTATCCAATCTTGATTTAGATGATGACAAGAATCATTTGTTACTTTACTTAAAAATTGATATTTTTCCCAAAATTCGATATAGAAACGAAGTAGGTTTCTCCTTGTAAATTGAGTCCTTCCTAGAAATACAAAGTTTCTTATTATCAAGATTAATAAATTAATTGTCACAAACCCCAGTAGGATCGCCGAGTATTGGCGATTAGACGAAGATAAATGGTATCTTCTATCAGCTATTTCATTTCTTCTTTTACCTGTAGACTTAACATCACTTTCTCATTAGGTAAGAAAACTAACTAGATGAGGCTAAGGCAAGCTGACAATTCACATAAGAACAAGAGAAATAATTTACGTCATTGCTTCGACCTTCTGCCGTTCTGATATGACTTATAGAAAGCGTTATAATAGTCATACAATCTTACAGATGAGTTACTTATTTTAAATTCATACTTTCTTTTCAAGTACTTCCAATAATATATAAGACTAATTCGGAGTAATGAAAATAATTTATCACTGCTTCATTAGATTTCTACTGCTTATATTTTCTTTTCATTGGAAAAAAAACAATTATCTGATTTAATTGTTTTTGAACATACCTTATTACTAGACTAAATTATTTGTTTTATTTGATAGTTTCGGAAAAATTTCATATCACAAGATGAAACAATAAGAAATCCTATCGACTCTGAGCAACGATAACTGGAAAACTATTGAAATTATTAGAAACAGCAGTGAAAAGTTAACGTTTATTTTGCCATCACTAATATAATTATATGTTTCTAAATATATAGATGATATCAATATAAGAAAGAATAAAGAGCTTCATGACTGAGAAAACGTTCAGAAAATATACGAAAGTTCTATCATATTGTACATTTAACGATATGTTTTTTTACACGGTCTGTAATTTCGAAACTCCGAGATTGTAATTACCTTCTCTACAACATTTCTTCTCTCGAAATAATCGTAAGAAAGAGTATTGTTTTGTTGGTTTGTTTCTTCTCAGGACGAAAGCTTACACAACATGGGGAGAGAAGAAATTCGAAGAAAAAATAATGACTTCAATATTTTAGGTTGAATGATATGAGTAGGGTTTTTATCTTTGCATCACAATATGAGGTGACATATCATTATTGATGATGTATTATTACTCATACATTTTTAGAAGCAAAAAGAAAAGAATGCATCTTATATCTTGTCTTCTAATCTATTAATCAACAAAAAATTGTTGAATAATAATTTATTGATATTCAAACTCTTTTTTTATGTGAATATTCTGTAGCATTACGGACTTGTTTCGATTCGATGTTTGTCTTGTATGAAAATAGAAGTATTTATATTTTCACTATTTGAAATTCACATTAGTTGAGTAAAAATAGCTAGTTATCATTTGAGAAAAAAATTCTTAACTATTGCCTTATCACTCGAAGTAACTAAGTTGAGTTTTCAGAAACTGTAAGCTTACATAAATATGGTTATTGAACGGCGTTAGTTTTAGCTAATAATCATTAAGAAAATGAGTAAAAATTTTCAACTTCGCTTCTAATGGTAATTTTTTTGCACACTAGAAAGCATGCTTCAGTAAAAAAAGTTTGCGAAATTATGTCGAATCGTTCATTGATCTTCGTTTGATCTGTGGTAATTCAACTTTTTGTTTTGCAGTTTATACGAAATTCTTAATTAAAGTGATTAAGTTCCTAGGTAAGAAACTACTATGATAATGTATTTGTCCCACAAGTTCTCATTTTATTTTTCGGCATGAACATGAAAACCGAAAGTTGGATAATACAAACAGAAAAGACGACCAATTCATATTGAAATCATTGAGTGAAAGTGTCATCTCGATTCAAATTTACTTCATAAATTCAATATCCTGGACTCTGAAATTTTTTATCAATTCAGGTCAAGAAAACTCATTCGATTCATGATTCTAATTGATTTAGGTTTATCATTAATATTTCTTATAATTCATTAAAAATTAATCAAAGATTAGCAAGTGAAAAAATGTGAAGCAATGATAATAAATTGTGAAATAGTTTTCTAACTTTACTATATGATTGTCATTTCTATGTTTCAATCCGATTGAAGGGAAGAGAGAAAAGCATCGTTTGGAGTACTGTAAAGCATGGAACTTTCATTTGATTGACTCATAATTTCTATCTGAAGCGATCCTATTGATTTTGGTTCACTTCTGCGGATCCAACTTTAATGTATATGGCATGATATGTTTCATTCTTTTAAGCAATATATTTTTGGTTCAAAAACGAAAAGTAACCTCTAACTTTATGGAATTCAAGACGTTTGATTTAAATATCTTTACTATGTCATACTTTTATTTTTATTGAAATTCTCGCCGGCAAATCTTACCTCACAATTTTTTTCCAAGTAAACTTTTAAGTAATCTTTCAATTTAGTATATAATTCACCATAAACAACATTTGCTCCATTATGTAGAGTATTGTGTCGATTATTGCTGTTCAGTTGTGATGTTCTTTTTATTGGTGTTCTTGATGAAAATCCTTGTGATTGAAAATTTTCGCAATAATCATAAACTTGGCAATGAAAAATGTTCAGATAATGAAATAAACAAATAAAAAAACATAAAAAATAAAATCGTTTTTACCCATAAAGATCCAAATATGCTTCAGGTGAAATATATCGAATTCGGTATATACGTTCAAGACCTTCTGATATTTTCATCCAAACATCATTCAAGTATAAGTTACGATCTATATGGGACATTTCTTGTGTAACTCACTGTATTTATGAAAAACCATAGACACAACATAAAAATGATGCGTCACTGATAAATACATAATCATAGAAATAAGTGATTCATATTCATCTTTCTCCCAATACTTGCGTAATAATCACGAAATCAATATTTGAAAAGGAAAACTTATATTTTTCCTTCATTTGATTCGTAGCCTACACTAGCGGATCGTTAGTATTTCCAGTCCACCAATGGTGGTCTGGCAAATCTAAGAAAACAATTACTACACTTTGACATAAACACAACTTTTATTGGGTGGATTTTTGGTAGAATATTCGCTTGTCGTGTCTGTTTATCATTCTGAAGTTTGTTTAGGATTTAACTCAACTGTTTCTGAGAAAAGTCTAAAATCAGAGAAATCTGTGGTGCCCTCTGCAAAGATTTCTTGCACTTTTTTCACGAAATGCAGAGTTAATGCCAAAAAATATTTCAAATTAATAATTAGAGAAAACCAGTGAACATCCTATCAAAAAACTTATACAATAAAGTTGGTATGTATGCCAGGGTGTATTTTCTCTTAGATTTATCAGACCACGGATTAGTTTAGCAAACTAGAATTTTTCAAAAATGAAACTCACTTTAATGTCTTCTTTGTTTGCTTAATGCCGTTTCAATACCATATGAAGGAATAATCAAATAAAATCAAAAGAAATCATAAATAAACCAATGTGGAAAAAGAAGTTCAAGCATCCATGACTTTGCGCGCAATGCATGGTGAACAATCAGGCGACAAAATTGGTTTTCGAGATTTGAGCTTGTAACATAGTTAGCATTAAAGCTACTTTGGCGCTGCATTTAAGTGCATCCTGGATGCTGCTTTATAGTGAGTGTCTGTTCAGCAGCAAGTACTGCAAAGTACCTAAAACAGGTGCTATCAGTAATACGACCATTTTAGTAAAATATATGTTCTAAATTGAGGGTCTATTTAGTTATATTCATTAGTTATTATGTAGCTATGCAGTGCTATGTATATACTATATATTACAGGCCATTTGGACTTCTTGAGGTTCTTTAAGCTATAATAAGATGAAAAAGTTACACTCGTATAGTAGAAATATAACTACTGGTCAATAACACAGCTATTTGCCCGAATTTTTCCGGAACTTTAATTCAAGTTTTAACTAGCTATTTGGTAGAGCATGTTATCATCTATCTTCAGTGGATATGCAAAGATGAGCACTTAAATCCTTGTTGAGATATAGTGTCTCAAATGTGATCTTCTATCCAAATCTGTTGTCAATTTTTATACAGTGATCATTCATGTTTCTAGTTCATCAAGTTTCAAATAGATAAATAAACACCAAACGTACAAGAATGTCAGATTTTATATTGAGTATTTCATTTTAAAATCGGTTTTTTGACTCTTCCTTAGGAATTAAATATATGAAAAAATGATGCATGAGTTCCCTTGTGAGATCACAGCCTCACTCAAAAAAAAGGATGTCATTATCACGGAGATAAATGTGTCTTATGAAAATGAATGATATATGAACAGGAGAACAGGAAAATAGGCATCATTGAAACAGAAAACTCTCATTGCTTTCTCAAACATTTTGTATTATTCTCATTTTATATTAAATATTAAAATAAGAGTAAATATGATAAAACGATTAAAAGTATCTCTTTTTATTTTTCTAAGAAAAAGATTATTTTCTTGAAAACGCTCTTTAAATGAATGCTTATCTATTTTTGGATATATATATCGATTGTGCTCGAAGTCTATTTTAGCTCCAACATCATACTCGATTGATTAAATTTACAATATCAAAACATTATATTAAATTATTTATTGATAATATCAAATCTAATTATTCTCAACTATAATTGACAAAACTAAATGTAATAGTATATTTGGGATCTTTTTGCTTTTCGATAACGGCAAAAAATAGTTTCTATGATAAATATTGCATCAGTTCACGGTTAATATTTGTGATATATATAATATTTATAGCTTTTGAAAAGAACTATCAAAATCATTATTTGAACGTCCATTATAGCAGTGTGTGATAGAGAGAAGCACAAAAAGATGCCTAAAAACTTTGTTCCTAACTTATATCTGACTATAGATAAAGATTAAAATAAAATATTGTAATTAAATAAAAATATAAGAGAGGATTTTTTATT